TCGTACTTGTTTTGTGCTTTAGCGTGGTGGCTAACTCCAAAATGTTCCAGATACGCTATATTGGAATTCCGCTTTTCTGCTGTATGTCTCGAGATCAACAACTTTGCACTGTGCTAATAGCTCATCTCTGACAACTAGTCTCAATCTTCTGGGTACGTCTCATATGCGCTGTGTTCCATTTTTCTGACCGACGAGACACAGGATCTTTGCCATCGGTATCGCTGACAGATGCAGTAAGTATTGTGCAACCATCTCATTCTCATTCAATCAATACGCTCATATGTAGGGGTGAGCGAGATTTCAACCATTGAACTTGGCTCAACATAATGACTCAATATTAGGTGTAAGTCGGAGTCTTTGATGCTAGTGCGAGGGCATTCACTAATTGCGAGTTTTAGGCACTATCACGTACTACGCATACAACGGGACAATTGTGGCCTTGTCTGCCATGTTGGGTAGTAAGTGACCCAGGTGCAATACCTCTGTGATATTGTCCTGCCAACTGACACGCGATGCAAGTCATCGTGATTGCTCGGTTGCATGCCATGTATCTGGGATCTAGAAAGATGCTTATCTTCCTTGTTATTATCTTCCTGGCTGTAAACATCGCCTGCGGAGTGATCGCGGGAATACCACATGATATAGCAGGTAAGCTTTACTTGTCGACTTGAAGATCATGGCTCATTGGACAAACCCCAGAGGAGTTCATACTCTCCAGCACGTATGTGTGCTATTATGTATATGGCGGGAACGACCAGCTTCTGTATTCAATGGTTTGGATGCTGAACACAGTTTGGGAGGTCCTCACACTGTGCCTTTCAGTCTTGGTTACTGTAAAACACTTCCGTGAGCTGCGACGACTCGGCCCATCGACGGGATCGACTATCGGGGACTGTTTCAGAGTGCTGATACAATCTCACATTCTCTATTTTGCAAGGTGAGCTTGTAATGCTGAACACAGTTATATTGCTCAAGTTCCGCATATGTTAGCTTTGCCGGTGTCTCTTGCATCCAGCTTACTGCTTTCTCTACCGGAATCTTGGTGTGCTGACCTGTTGCTGCTATCTGCATGCAACCAGTGCTCATCATTTCTGTAGAATTCAACTTCTATTGGAGCTCTCACACTCGATGCTGCTCTTCAAATTTTATTGGTCGTACAGTTGTTTGTGCTGGGACCACGCCTCATCCTGAGCGTTCGAGAATACCACAGCAAACTCGTGGCATACTCCGACGCAGAAACTGGCCTGAATTCGATTGCTTTCCAGGAGCGTGTACATGTATCGACTAGCAGTACTGTATAGGGAAATGCTTGCCGAGTGGTCTGCAGGGAGAAGACATTTGATCGAGGATTCGTTGTTATATTTATTTGACATATAGTATATTTTAAAGGTCTAGGCAAAGCTATTTCTTGTTGTCTCACTACTAGAACGAAGTATCCGTGCTTAAACCAAGTGGTAAGGGGAAATTATTGGGAACATCTAGCAACTAATCTGGTCCTTTGTTGAAATGCGCGTTGGTGTTCCACTGTCATAGATACTGCGATTCGTGAAGTCAGATGGCTGATAACTCATTAATTCTCAGATGCGATTTCCTCCATCCGGTGGGCCAAGCAGAATGAATTGCGTAAACTGATGCGTTTGATTGTACGTCTTTCTTGCGAATGAGCATGACAAGGATATGGGATCTGCTGAGTGGAGAGTGGAAAATCAGAAAATGTCAGCAGTGAGTAGCCTTTCTAAGATCAAAGTTTCCGCTAGCAGCAAAATACCAAGCAGTGGCGCAGCATTTTTCTGGATCTGAAACAACGGTGTGTCTGTACTATGACGAATAATCCACCTGACCATTTTGAACCCGTCCATGAGGATCTCAGAGATAGAACAAGATGTAGATATTAATAATTCGACTGAATTCTATTGTAAATACGGTCTTCATTCTCTTCCGTGCTACGCTGATCCACTCCGGCTATTCCGGTTATCGGCGTTCCCTACTTGTGTCGTGCTGTGTTATCTTAGTCAGCTTCTACCCTGTGATGGTCCGTCTGACTTCAGCAAACGATGGGTTCCAATCTTAGTCTGTTACATGCTTACAGAAACACGATGCCATAGAGATGAGCCTGTACATTCAGAGATTAGCTTCCTGGCGTGGTGCAGGTTTATTGCCAGCTTTGTATTTGATTTCGCTCTGTTTCACCCGATCAAAAATCTTGAGGTAGGATCGATTATCTATCTCGATTCTCCGTTATGCTGATTTTGGAGATCCAAGTGCCGAACGGTGGTATATCTAGCACGAAGCTATCGTCATACATTAACATTCCCCACTCGCTCACTCATTCATCGAACATGACCTTCGTCTCAAATGATCCGAGTTACTGGCCGTATATCAGTTTGAACATTTTTTTGAGCTATTGGGAAGGTTTGTCGCATCAATATGTCTAAATATAATGTCGACGTGCGGTTTCACAGTTGCCGCGGTCGTCGTGGTGTTATACGATTGGGGTGAGCAGTACAGTGTTCGAAAATCGCTGATGTTCTCATGATATTTCAAGTCTTAACACTCGGACAAGAGGTACGTCGATGTCATCGCCGGAGTAGCCAACTCGCTAAGAATGGTGCCATAGATTGAACTCATCTGGGTGAGTGATAAGGGCTCCATATTAGAAGAAAACAAGACAATGCAATGAATTTGCGACAGAGACGACGCTGGTCCCTCATGAGTGTGCTGTATTTGATTGTTAGTACCTCATGTTGTGCTTTAGCGTGGTGGGCAACTTGTGCTGACTCTAAAATACTCCAGATACGCTATATTGGAATACCATATTCTGTGTATGTGTCGAGATCCACAACTTTGCACTGTGCTAATAGCTCATCTCTGACAATTAGTGTCCGTCTTCTGGGTATGTCTCCTATACTCTGTGTTTCATTTTGCTGACCGGCGGCACACAGAAAATATGCCATCGGTATCGCTGACAGATGCAGTAAATATTCTGAAACTATTTCATTCCCATACAATCAATACACTCATATGTAGAAGTGAGTGAGAATACAAGGATTGAACTTGGCTCAACATCATGACTCAATAGGTGTAAGTCGGATCTTCGATACTAGTGGAAGGCGTTCACTAATTGGGATCTTCAGGCAATATCATGTACTACGCATCAGGTGGGACAAATGTGGCCTTGTGTGCCATGTTGGGCAGTAAGTGACCCAGGTACAATACCTCTGTGATATGGACCTGACTGACACGCGATGCAAGTCATCATGATTGCTCGGTTGCATTCCATGTATCAGGGATCTAGAGCGATGCTTATCTTCCTTGTTATTATCTTCCTGGTTAGCATATAGGGTTTTGGGGTATATTTACAAGGTCCAGGCAATGTTGTATCACAACTGCAATGAAGTATCTGTGCTTGAACTAAGTGGTAAGGTGAAATTATCCGGAGCGACTAGCAACCAAACTGATCCTTGATGACCGATGTTGAAAAACAACGACAATCAGTAAAAGTGCTTGACAGCTGATTCTGCACGTTGGTGTTCCGCTGTCTGGACATATAGACACTGCGAATCGTGAAGCCAGATGACTGATAACTCATCGGTGGTCAGATGCGGTTTCTTCTATCCGATGGGCTACGGAGAATGAAATGGATGAGTCATGTATAGACTCATTGCTTGACTGCACATCTCTTGCAGATGAGCATGACAAGGATATGTAGTTTGCTGAGTGGGGAGTGGAGAATCAGATAATGCTAGAAGGCCTCGAGCGTACCTATCAAACTACTAATGAGGCATCGACTGCGATAGTCTGTTGGGACACTCCCTAAGCGCGACCATCGGAGTAAAGCATCGAACGAGATACAGATATGCATACACACCCATTGGCATGGATCACAGTGGCTCCTATATAGCTAGGGTAAGCAAATGGGTACTCGAATAAAGTGTCTGATAGAATGGGGGAAACGCACTGTCACTGAATAGAAGCACGATGGATGAAAGAAGGATGACCTAGAATGGTCAACAACACGAACGACGATGAAAGTATGTGATCGGGAATTAGATCGCCGATTTCGTCAGGATTCTATGTTTTTTTATTTATCTAGAATCTAGATCGAGGGAATTAGACTCGCACATGTCTGGTTTGATCAAGGCGTACCTGGGAAGCCCTGCAACAATCTATTTTCATCCTGCCGAGTCGCATCACTGTAAGAGTAAAATACCAAATGAGATGCATATGTAAATATAACACACCCGTTGATATTAAATATTAAATATCAATCAATTTGGCCCTGGAGTAGCGATATTTCAAGAGTAAATGTAAGTGAAGAGGTCATCACAGCATGGTCACCCGGACGAACAGATAGAGAGTGAAGGGCCTGGAAAGGACAAGTAGCGTCTTTGATCAGGTAGTTGATGGAGGAAAAAACTCACTATGATGCATCTAAGCACGAGAAAGGGTGGCCTTCAGAGCGGTAGTAGAATGTGCCTGGAGGGTCTGTCACAGGAGCAACGCTTTGGTCTTATATATATGCTCAAGTACTATGTAGGCAGACCAAATACGATTTTAGGCATAGTGCCCGTCCATCCAGCTTCACGTGCAGGGTCAATTCTCATCTTCCATGACTGAGTACTAGTACTGATCGACGAGCGAGGTAACAAGAGAAATTGGCACAGGTGTGAATTCCAGAACGGCATTGCTTGCAGAGCTGTAAGCTTGGTTCATTTTCTGACTCCGCAAACGCCGAAAGTAGCGCTCGCAGCGCTGCGGACTTTGATTAAAATTTAGAAAAGGAGACCCCAGACGTTGCCAAACGCCCCAGACTCCGCCTCAGACTTTGGCCCCAGACTGGCCAGATCTCTGACATTCACCGTTGCTGATGGAGGCCCCGTATCTTTCATACTATGTTCGGTGCGCGCCTGAAAACACTAGTACTGTTATTATTCATTCGTCATGTGGAGTAAGTAATGCGCCTTCAAGGTTGCATTTCTGATTCATACTCACCATGACGCGGTCAACCACTCCAACACAGCTTCCGATGACACCACTGGCTGCTAACTTTCCAACTGCGGCGGTACATCGCCCATAATACACGCTGCAGTTGCCTCTATACACAGGTATAGTCCCGGTGTTCAAGGATGCTAACCAAGATGCTTACCAATGAAGCCGCTCAGCCTTTAAAAAAAGTTTCAAGATTGGCCGCAGCACTTCAAACCCCACGTCTTAGTATACTCCATGATGCAGACACTTGTCTTGTATGACACCCTCTCCAACCTACCAGGCAATAGCTGGTCACCCAACCCCGCAAAGCCGAGGTCAGTAGTTCATGTCATGTATGTCGCTTTGATATCTGATCAAAGTCTACTCTACGCCTCAGGTTCATTTTGAGCTACAAGGGTCTTCCATTCGTGACCGTCTGGGTCGAATACTCAGACATCTCGATCGCTATGAAGGCCATCGGTGCAAAGCCAAACAAACGTCCAGACGGCACGGATGTTTACCCTGTCCCGGTCCTCAGCGACCCTAACACCGGCGCACTCATCACCGACTCCCTCGAAATCGCCTCCTACCTCGAAAAGACATATCCAGAGAAGCCTATTTTCCCTAACAATTCAGAATCCCTGATATGTGAGTTCGACTCTGCCCATATCAAACTCATTATACCTGCTGTAAAGTCTACCTTCATATGTTCCACGGAAATATTGAGTCCTGTAAGTGCAAAGTTCTTTATCAAAGTCCGTTCGATGGACGTCCCGCTACCTTGGGATGCGAATTACAATGAAGACTGGGCCCTACTAGAGAAGGGGCACAATACTGCGTACGAATGGTACCAGAAGACAGACGGAAAGTGGTTCATGGGCGACACTTTTTCGTATGCAGACATCATCGTGGCTTGCTGGTTGCTGTGGTTCAAACGAGTCCTGAAGGAGGATGAGTGGGTCAGGATCAGTTCTTGGAATGGGGGGAAATGGGCTCAAGTTCTTGCAGACGTTGAGAAGGAGTGTGGATTAGCGTAGGAGACTGCGTGTACTATATTCAGAGGCATTTAAAATAATGTCGAGTTTTTTCAACAGGTTAACCCAGGCCACCATCATCATAGTGTGCACCACATGTCTTGCATACGTCAATGTTGCGTGGGCCTGGACGCCCTGAGCCTGAGCCGGTCAGGATTGGACTAACTTAGTACTTACTAACATAGATAGCAGCGCACACGGTCAGTGAGGCTGAGTCACTCATCTAGACTTATACAGCCGCAGAGTGCGCATTACAATGCGCAAGTGCAGGCCACGAAAAAGGAATGGCTGCTTCCCTTGTGTGTAGTGGGCTGCTGGGAGCTGATCAATTATAACCTCTGGCAGGCGCTTCACGTCTGACACCCGTACGTGAACCTCTTCTCGATGACTCAACGTCCGAGGCCTCTTAGTGCGCATCAAGGATCAATACCAACCTATGCATCTGTATCTATGTGTGGAGGTAACCGTACTTATCGTGTGTCCAGGTGTCAAGGAATGTTGATGAGATCACAGAAATGTTACATCGTCATGGTGGCATGAGTGAAGCCTATTTTTAGTAAAAGATGGTATATCTAGTACGACCGACACTAGTACTGCCAACACTCCCCGCTCAGCACTCCCCGCTCAGCACTCCCCGCTCACCGATACCTCTCAAACATGACTATAGTCTCAAATGACTCCACTTTCTGGCCGCTAATCAATTTTTCGATGTTTCTCAGCTATTGGAAAGGTTCGTTACAGCAAAATACAAAATGTCTATATTTATTGAACATAGACTGGTGGTTCCGCAGTTGCTGCAGGTGTCGTGGTGGTATACGATTGGGGTGAGCGAGACGGTCTTCTAAAATGACTCATATTCTCATGATATTTCCAGTCTTAACACTCGGCCAAGAGGTACGTTGATGTCATTGGCGGAGCGGAAAACTCGCTAAGTGAGGTTTCATAGATTGAACTGATTTGGGTGAGTAACAAAAGTCGTATCAGAAGAAAAACAGGACAATTTATTGAATTAGCGATAGAGGCAATGCTGGTCACTCATGACTGTGCTGTATTTGGTTGTTCGTACCTCATGTTGTGCTATAACGGTATTCTTATTCTGACTTCATAATGTTCTAGATACGCTACATTGGAATACCATATTCTGTGTATGTCATCGTGGCTAATAATGTGATTCTGTATTGATACCCAATCTCTCATTGCCAGCATCAGCATTCTGCATATGTCTCATACGCACTGTGTTCGATTTTTCTGACCGGCAGCCCACAGCAAGTATACCATTAGTCAGGCTGACAGATGCAGTGAGTATTCTGCCACTATCTCATTCATATGCAATTAATGTACTCATATGAAGGGGTGAGTATCATCCCGACCATTACTAACTTGGCTCAGTATAGTGACTCGATAGGTGTGAGTATGAGTGTTTGATCCTAGTACGAGGGTATTGACTAATTGAGTGTTTCAGGCATCATTGTGGAATACGCACAGAATGGGACAAATGTGGTCATAGCTGCCATGTTGGGCGGTGAGTCGCCCAGCTTCAATACTTCAGTGATATTGACCCGAATGAAACATGATGCAAGTCATCATGATCGCTCGGTTGCATGCTATGTACCAGGGATCTACAACGATGCTGATCTTCCTTGTTATCATCTTCTTGGCACTAAACATCGCCTGTGTAGTAATCACGGTAATAGACCTCAAGTACGTTGTAGGAGGTAAGCTTCACTTGTTGAGTCGATGAACACAGTTCATTGAACAAACCCTAGAGGAGTTGATACTCTCTGGCACGTATATATGCGGTTACGGAATGGAAGGCGACGAGCAGCTTCTGTTTTCAATGGTTTGGATGCTCAACACTGTTTGGGAGGTCCTCGCACTGTGTCTTTCAGTTTGGGTTGCTGTGAAACACTTTCGTGGCCTGCGGTGACTCGGCCCATCAACAGGATCGACCATCGGGGACTTTTTCAGAGTGCTGATTCAATCCCACGCTCTCTATTTTACAAGGTGAGCCTGCAACGTGAACACAGTTATATTTTTCTGCTCAAGTTCCCCGTGTGTTAGCTTTGCTTGCATCTCTTGCCTGCAGCTTGCTTATATCTCTCCAGAACTCCAGGTGCGCTGACCTGTTGCTGACATTCGTGTGTAACCACTACTCATCATTTCTGTAGAATTCATATTCTATTGAAGTTCAGATACTTTATGGTGCTTTTCCAATTTTACTGGTCGTGCAGAGGTTTGTGTTGGGACCACGCCTTATCCTTAGCGTTAGAGGATACCACGCCAAACTCGTGGCAGACTCCGACATAGAAACTAGCATGATTTCGATTGTTTTTCAGGAGCATGTGCACGTATCAACTAGCAGTATTGTGTAGGCAAATACTTACCGAGTGGTCTGCAGGGACGAGAAATTTGGTCAAGGATCCATCGAGATACATATCTATGTAACATGTAAGGTATCGAAGTATGTTTGATAAGCAAACCTATTTCTTGTTGAGTACTAAGGGTAGCGTAATGTCTCGCACATGTGCATGAGCTATTGTAACGACCAATATTCATAAGGGTGGGTGCCAGTGACCGGTGCATCGATGGCGGGATTAGGATAACCCGTGTGATTGATGAAGCTTGAAGCCCAGTGAGAAACGGTCCTAGCCATATCTCCGGAAAACGACGGAAATATTGTGACAATATTCACGTCGATTTCCGGAGAAAAATGAGACTTATAGTTGATGTTTAGCGACTCGCATCGAGCGAGATATTGTATCATCGATTGTGTTTGTGTACCATAGATTCTAGTATATTCCCGTAGTTCCCAATTGACTTGTGCATATTTGCTCATCAACGCAAATCGACCAAAAATAATTGTATTATGAAAAATTACAAATACAATACTCTATATACCATAGCACCCCCACCCGCGCATCAGGATGATGTAGTCCACTAGCTTCTGGCACATGGGAGTCCTTGACCGAAACAAATCATTGTCAGAATATACTTGCCAGGCAAGTAGACAGTACTTACAATGATGGCAGCTGCCTCGTTCTACAGCAATAGATATCAGTTAAAGTACATTAGGTAGCTTTTAATGGAACTCACCAATTGACTGTCTTGTAACGGTGTATCTGTTGAAGCCGCTGGATGTGTCAATCATCGGGACAATGGTATTGAGCTAGCGATGATGTAAAACAGTCAGTGAATGAACCTGACAATGCCAAATAACTCACAATGTTCAAAATATGTGCATATATGCACCGTGAATAGCGCTTACTTGTCACAAGAACGGCCGACGGTCGAGTGGGTGGGATCAGCAAATGGATTGAGCCATGAAAAAGCCTAATACTTATCTTGTTAGTGGCCATGAGAAAGTTATGTGTCAGATGATGCCAGGATGGTTGAGGTCAACGGCAAGGTTTTGCTGAGAGGAAGACGAGATGATGGAGGGGAAGAAGAAAGCTGAGATGAAGCGAGTAGGGATGGAATGTCCCAATATTGGTCTGCTGCATATTGACGTCATTGCGTGAAGTGATGGTGCGTGCGCAGCTGATGCACAAGAATGTTCAAACGTTGAAATATTGAGCAAAGTCAAGTCAAAGTTGAAAGAATTTCAACATGTTCAACATTTACTGAGCGCATTGTCAAATGTGTATTTGAAACCCATTTGATAATTGATCGAGCGTTGTTGACATATTGTTTACATTTATCGATTTGCATAGTTATTACAATATTCCTGGCACATATTTTATATCATCGTCGTTTGCCGTAGATATCGCTAGGACCGATTTTCACTGGGCTTGAAGCTTAAGCCCCGCGCTGAATAGAAGCACGATGGATGAAAGAATGATGGCCTCGAATAGATGCCGGGCTAGATAAGGCATTGAATGACGACGACACGAAAGTATATCATCGGGAATTAGATCGCTGATTTTGTTATTCCGTTTTCATTTATCTAGATCGAATTGACACACATATTTGGTTCAAGACGATCGCGAATTCTATCAGAACGGATTCTTCACTCATCAAATTATAATACAGGCAAACATCACTGTACCGTGAAATATGTATACCAACAAGGCTAGCTATAGTAAAAGTAGCGTTGCCTAGAAGAGATTCAGGGCTTCAAGTCGAAAGGCATCGAGTGCACCCAGAAATGCTTACCTTCAGCATTGAAATACGTAGTTTGAGTGATAGATAGGCGTATCGTTCTCGGGTGGGGTCGGGGTAAATAAAGCCTAGGTCCAGACGCAAATCGATGATTGAGCAATTTTATTGATGCTTGAGGACGGCGGACGCGTGAGCGTTGCTGTATCGATGGTCAGCCTAGCATATGTCGTCGAGAGTAGTGGGATGGGGTAAATAACTTAACTTACAGCTAGCCAATACTAGACGCCCTAAATAAGCCGCCTCCAATGCTAATGTCAATTTCTCTGGGAGGTGCAGAGTCCGTCTGACATTCGAATGCGCATATTAGCGCGGGTGCATAACAACAGGCATTATCGGGTACTGTCCGACGAACTTCACGCACAGGTCAATTTTCGTCTTCTATAACCGATGCAACAAGAGGGAGTGGTACAGATGAGGCTGAGTTCCGGAACGGCCTTTAAATTTCAACCCGTTGCTTGCAGAGCTGTGTTCATTTTTTGACTGCGCAAACAACGAAGGTAGCGCCGCGGGCTTTGAATTTACACAAGCCTTGGCGTTGCACATGGAAACGCCTCTTTCGTTATGTTTGGTGCGCATAATTCATTGTGCCAAATATCGTGTGCATCTTCAGCATCCTGCCTTAAAACGCTGAGATCTTCTCTGGACTTTTGTGTGCAAAGCACCGCAACTGTTTTGTATTTATAGCAACTAGGGCCCCTACACATCCTACAACCTTCAAAGCGCCTTCGAACTTCGACCTTTGTTTCCGTTTCTCCATCGACAGCTATTCTCAAGCCTCAATTCGTCGCCGTAATTTGATGTTGCCACGGGTAACTATATCATAGCTTTCATGTATTTAACACTGGATGGCACTGATCTGTGCCAACGCTACATGGGAACGACGGGTCTCACTCTTACAGGATAAGTGTTTGCTGAAACA